ACTGGTGGCAACCACCAGCAAGAGGTGCTGGGGGTGGTGTTGGAAACGTGGCATCGGGGTGGTGTTGGCTTCAGGCAGGGCACAAGGCTTTCAGGGCTGGGTCATTTCCTCGCTGGGTGGACCCCAAGGCCCCCGGGGCTCTCCCAACCACGGCCACGCAGGAGGCTGGAAGGCGATTGCCAAGCATCTGGAGGCAAAATGAGGTGCTTTGGCCTGGAAACACACGCAGAAGGGGAGCCTCCATCAAAGCAGTGTGAGAGGCAGGGCAGCTTGCAAGCACTAAAAAGAGCTGACAAAAAGCAGCACAAACTGCTGGCAAGCCCATTCGTGGACACGAAACCTGTCCGAGTTTCTGGGGCAGTAGGACCCGGCCCTGAGCATGGATTAAACCAGGCCTGCCCTGGCTGCTGGCATGAATCTCTCTCAAATGATGTTGTCTGTCTGGGGATGGATGTGTGCTTTGTTTTACCCAGGTGTGGGCTATTACCGCTTAAACCAAGGTTCATATAAAGTCCAAGGAAAACTTCAGAGCTCTTTTCTGAGACAAAGAATTGGGTATGTTTGTGACAGTCCTCAAAACCTGAAATTTTGGGGTGTTTTTCACTTTTCCCTAACCACACCAGAGGACAGGATGGCACAAAAAGCTGGATACCCTCACCGTGTAATAATCACAGCTTCTGTTTTTCCATCCAGGCTGTCACTTTTATATCTGTAAGCACAGAGGGTGCTTTTAACTGCCTGGTTCTGGTTGTGTGCAGTGTGGGTGGCTCTGCCTCTGGCCTCCCATCATCTGTGGGACCCAGCGCTGCAACAAAGAGGGTGGTCAGACATCTGCTTTAGGAGGGCAGGTTCTCCACGTCAGGGGTCCCAGCAATGGCAGCAAGTGAGCAAAACTCTCCGAGGCAGCTGTGAGCCCGGGAGCTGCCCTGCTCAGCCCTGGAAGTTGCTCCGTGGGCTTCATTAAGTCATGGAATCATAGAATTGTTTAGGTTGGAAAAGACCTTTAAAATCATCAAGTCCAACCATTAACCTAACCCTGCCATCCCACCACTAAACCATGTCCCTAAGCACCCCGTCTGCCCATCTTTTAAATACCTCCACAGTCCCACGACTGCTTTAGTTTATCTGACAGCTTTTAGTTTTATTCTGAACTGTTCTTCTGAGGGCTACACTTCACACTTTGAACTGAGTCATGGAATCATAGAATTGTTTAGGTTGGAAAAGACCTTTAAAATCATCAAGTCCAACCATTAACCTAACCCTGCCATCCCACCACTAAACCATGTCCCTAAGCACCCCGTCTGCCCATCTTTTAAATACCTCCAGGGATGGGGACTCGACCACTTCCCTGGGCATCCTGTCCTGAGGGCAGCAGCATGCCCGCAGACACCCCTCAGCCCCCTGCCTGTGCAGGCCTCCTGCCTTGCACTGCACCATGGAAGCAGGCCCCTCATTAGCCACTGGGCAAGGGGATGGTGTGGTGCCTGATGGCTGGTAAATACTGAAAATGGCTGAGCTGCCTAGGCAGCCCTTCCCTGTGCATCCGTCCTCCGATCAGCTGCCTCTGTGCATGTTCAGACTCTGAGCTTGATACCATCGGAAAAAAAACAACCCGACAATCCATGAAGTCAGAGATGCTTGAGGGAGGTGGCAAAAGCCAGGGTTGACTTCATTGCATTGCGCTTGTCACAGCTGGTGTTGCGTAAATGGGACCGAGGCTCAGAGAGTCCACTCTGACCCTTCTGCCCCCTGGGGGCTGTGGGGTGAATGGGGTCCCAGCCCTCCCAAAAGCAGCTACTGACAGTTCTCCCACAGCTCCTTACATTTGGGCAGGATCTTTCCCATAGTCACTTTTTAGAAGCAAACTTTTTTTTTTTGCCTTTGCTAATGCTGGTTTTTTCTGTACCACTGCAGATGTCTCATCTGGGGCATCATAGGCTCTGCAGCTGCCAGTTTGTTTCTTCTGTGTCTGCTGAGGAGCCAGGTTGGGGTTGTGCTCCCCTTTTAGCACAGGTTGTAGTTGTCATACTATTGCCAGGACAAATCTTAATTCTTGGAGGGGCCATGTGAAGGCCAGGCTCTGCTGTAGAAGGCCACCAGTGGAGCAGGACTGCTGCTCTTTTGCTCCGTGTGTGCCGGCTGTTGCAGGTGTTCATAAATAAAGCTGCTCTGGATGGTGAATCTTGGCTCAGGGGGACTCTGAAAGTCAAAAGGCTTGTGGTCGCTCTCCTGTGCCTGCCAGGATATGTGAAATATTTTGTACATCCCCAGGAGAAGATGTATTGATCATATCTATATATCTATCTGCCACTGTTTATCCTGATGATTTTCTAATAATTTTCCATTCTGCACTGAAGGACGTTATCGTGGTCTGAAGGGAAACATTACAGTAGGAAGGGAGTGGGGAAGACTGGGCAGAGACTACGCATTGCAGGAGGCGCTCTGGGTTTCCTTTTAGACCTTTCAGATTCGAACGGACCCACATCACCTATTGGGCAGAGACCCATGCATGGGTCACGCTGGACACAGAATGAGGCTGGCGTGGTGGTTTCAAGTCAAATGAAGGAATTGCTTCGTTAATCAGGTACAACCACGCAGGGCCCACTTCCACAGCCTGTTGGTGTGAGGGGTAGAGTAGGAGAAGATGCATGCAGTGATGGTGAGCGGCAGCAGCAGCCTGTGTTCCTGCTGCCTTGTTTTCAGGCCAATGCTATCCCAGTCTTCCATCTGCCCTTGTTCCTCCTGCTTTTAAAGAAAACAAACCTGAAAACCAAACCAAACCAGGGGCTGGTACATTGATTGTTCCCTTGACTGTGTGATGGAGCAGAGAGATAGGGATAAAAAGTGTGATCTTGAAAATAAGGAAACAAGGTTTGCCTTTGGATGGAGCTGGCCACTAGCCATACCACTACTCACGCTCTGTTAAGTAAAGGTCATGAAAAGGTTTGCAGAGAAGTCTTCTGGTTTTTCCCTCTTCATGAGTGAAATTCCAGCTGGCGTGGCTGCAACCCGAGGCACATCTGCAGCCTGTCTTTGTGGAAACGTCCCATCCCCTCTGCACAGTGCCAGGCTTGCTGGGGTTTAGACCTCCCCACAAACTGCGGGATTTCCTTAGACCCATGTAAATCAGAGCTCTGTTAAGAAAGAGAAGAGGAATGAGCCACCGAGAGGCTTTGCTCCTTTTTTCTGAAGTCTGTGTGTACCATAAATTGGATAGCCCCCCGCCGAGAGAGGGGGAAACCAAGCTCTTAAAATGCCTAGTAAAGGGTTAGTAATTGTTTCAAACAGTCGACTAAAAATGTTTTTTATTACGAGGCTTGAGTTCTCTTTCAAATGTGAAGCTGCTTGCTCGGTTTGGCAGCGAAGGCTGCTTTTACATCTCCCTGGGGACAGTGGTAAAACTTTCAGCAGCTCAGGCACAGAAACCAGCCCTTTGTCGAACCAGAGGCGAGAAACCAAAAGTTGTTCTGCGGATTTCTGAGTCCCCCACAGCTCGCTTTCGGACTTTGCTGGTTAATCTGCACCCTCTGAAAAAGCTTTTGTTGGGGAGAAGAGGGAGAGAGGAGAAGACAGTGTTGTGTGTGGATGGGACCAGGCTTGGCGGAGGTGTGTGATGCTTGTGGGTAGGTAAGCTGCTTGGTGACTTTTTTTTTTTGACATTCAGCTGTTAGTCAGTGGGGTACAAGAGCACGGAATCAGCACTTTTCACGCAGTTGCACTGAAAGATGGACAGGAGCTGGATTTCTTTCTATCGCCGCGGTGGGCAGGAGAGCAGAAATCTCCGCTAATCCTGTCCCAACTGTGTGACAGAAATGCCGACGCCTGCCACAGCTGCTCAGGGGGAGCAAGGGAGATTTAGGGAGACAGAGAGGTGCAATGGGTTTCCCTGGCAGTGCTGCTCTCCGGTGTGCTCCGAGTAGGAGCTGGGGGGGACATGTCTTCCCTACAGCTCTGGGAAGTGTTGGGGAAGGAAGAGGATGAGCTAGGGAGTGTCAAAATTGCCAGGTGAGATTATTTTCTCTCTGGTATAGCAAGGATCTCCTGTCTTTTGAGGACACATTGATTTGCTTTTGTCTGCCTGGCGTCCTCTCTTTATTCTCTCTTTTTGTGGTTTCTTTTCTTCCCCTGCATCCCTCCCCCGTATCTTTCTTCGGAGCATCTATTTTGTCCCTTCTCCTGGTATTTTCCTTAGGTGGCTCTGATTATTCAGCAGCTCTGCTGAACGCAGTTCCCTCTCCGGAGAGGGAGAAATACCTCACCAGAGCAGCACTTGCCCCCCCTGCCGCAGAGGCAGGTGGAGCAGAGGACGGGCTCCTTTGCCTGCTAGCACTGAGCAGCAGGATGGAGGAAAGGGCACAGTGGGAAGGCAGTGACGGGGGTGCACCCTGCCTAGTCCTTTTTCAGCCAGCCTAGGTAAAAAAAGCCAAAAAACTGCTTTCCTTTTTTCCTTCGAGAAGGCTTTCCCTGAATTAATTCACATCAACCTGCGTGAAAGTAGCTGAAAGATCTTACAACGTAGCTCAGCTGGGATGTCTTAGGGGCAACGTAACTGTGAACAAGGATTCCCTCCACAAACAACTGCAGGGCAGCTGTGGTGTAATAGTGTTGAATTTCAAGATTTCACAGCAGTATAAAGATGTTCACAAGAGAAGACTTGGAAAGCAAACAAAAGAAAGCTGTCAGGACATTTCTTCAGCTCCTGCCCCTCAGCGGTGGCGTGGAGGAGCTAGTAAGAAGTTTGGGGGGAATTCGGGAGGCATTTGCAGAGCTGGCACTCAGGACTGACCCTTCGTGTCCCACCTTTGGCCATGCCATGGGAATGAGTTGTGTGTGCACAGTCCGGAAGCAGGCGTGCCAGCATCAGGTGACAATCAGCAGACGGTGCGGGCACCATCCCTGCTGTGGCCACTGCTCGGTGCTGGTGTGCAGCAACGCCATGGGCTTCCCCTGCGTCCCTGCTGCTGCGGGGAGCCCACGGGCCCCAGCTGCCCTGCGGCATGATGGCCTCTGCTTGCGCGTCTCAGGCAAGAGGCTGGGCACTCCCAGGGCCCACGGGTGCCCTCCCACCCCGTGTCAGGGGTAAAGCTTCTGCACAGCCAGGGGCTCGCTTGCTGTATAGCCGGGGGAGTGGGGGAAGGCTCACTTACCAGTGTAACATACTGCAGGGGATGCTCATGTTCCTGCAACTTTGGCATTAAGAAGGAGGGGACATCAAGCAGCAGGTTTTTGTGTTTCAGGCAGATTTTGTGGCAAAACACTGGACGTGTGAGGTGGCGATGGTTATTCTTGGCTTTTGGTAAGAGTGATGGAGTTGACCACCTCTCTCAGTGTGCTGTAGGAGCAGAGAGCCTGTTCCTGCAGGCAGTACACTGCATCCTCCCTTGGCAATCGTCAGCTTTGTGGCTATAGTCCTAGATGTTTGTCCTCCAGTGGCACTCTCAGTGTAACATCTCCAGATGCTGGAAATTAATTTCCTCTGTCCATCCCTCTGGAGCTAGTAAAAGTCTTGGGGCTTCCTTCTGCCAACACAACAGCACCAATGAATCTCTTCAAGATCACTGTGTATTGAATTTGGATGCCTTCCCTGGTAGCTCCTGACGGCTTTCTCCCCTTGCTTTGCAGATCACAGGCGTTATCCTTCTCGCAGTCGGCGTCTGGGGCAAGCTCACCCTTGGCACGTACATCTCTCTCATCGCTGAGAACTCCACCAATGCCCCCTATGTGCTCATCGGGACGGGTACCACAATCATCGTCTTCGGGCTTTTTGGCTGCTTTGCCACTTGTCGTGGCAGCCCATGGATGCTGAAACTGGTAAGCATGCCAAAGTGCCTTAAGCAAGAGGGGAAGAGGTTTTGTTGATGCACTGGGATTCCCCCCACTCCCTGCCAAGCTTCACCAGATGTTAACGGGGTTTTTTAGGCACATAAGCTAGATTTTATTGATCTTAATGTTCAACACGTGTGTCTTTTGGACAAAGAAGGGGAAAAAAGTCTTTGCCAAACCCAGTTGTTGATTGAGTATGAATGAATTTTGCTACCGCACAGCGTACAGGCCCATGTGTGGTTGGGAGCCGGGTGAAATGCTGCTGATTAATTGCTCTGTGAGTAATTCTACAATAGTTCTGTTTTTCTGTGAGCCAGATAGATAGGTATATTTACAATCTTGAAAATGTCCAAAGCCTCATAAATGTGAAAATCCTCTGAAGTATAGTTTAAAGGGCTCATTTTAATACTCCGATGTGAAATCTATGGAAAAAGTAGTTGGTACCTTCTCAAAGCACACCAGCCTTTCTTTTTCTCCTAACACTCACCAGAATAAAACAAGTCAACCCCAGAAAACAACGCTCTGTATGGTATATTTGTCCTCGTCTCGAAGGCAGCACGTAGTCGAGGTACACTAAGCAGAGGTACAGCAGCTGTCTCTCAGTCCTGTTTAACCTCTCTCCCTATAAGTTTCTCTGTTCTGAGTTTCCCAGCCCACCTTAAAATGCAAAGTAACTATAGGTTAAGCAAATATATGATAAACTGTGTTTCTATGCATATTCAGGAGCAAAACCCTACATGTGTCATGGTTTGAAGGGTGGAAATAGCACTTGTGATGCACTGAGATAGTGGGAAAGGGCTTGACGGTGCAACGCATCTCCTGCTACAATATTTTGGGGCTGATTTTCTAAGGAGATGGGACGATCTTCTCCAGTTTGAACTGGATTTAAAAAAAAAAAAAAAAAAGCACATCTTAAAGAGGGCTAAGTTCCTCAGCTGGTGGCACAGAAGGGGAGAGGTAGCAGCTGCAGATGGGTCAGCAGGTGTACACTGGTGGCCAGTCGGCCTTTGCCTAACGCTGCCGTAGGCGCAGCACTGCTCTCTCTTGCTGGCTATGTGCTGTCAGGGCGTGTGTCAGGGCTTGTCGGAGTTACTGCAGCCCAGATGGGAAAGGGTTAAAGGTGAAAGAAGATCTAAATCCACAGGAATTCAGGCTCTGCAAGTTGCTCCCTAAGTCACCTAACTTTTTTAAAGGTACTTAGAGCGGCATGTGCTGTTCCAAGCACATGGTTTTATTGTCATTGTACGTGTAAGAAATATTTCAAAACTTTCTCTCCTGAAGAGAATACAGGCAGGGATTTGACAGCTCCGTTAATTGCAGAGAATGATTCTTCTACTCCTCCCTTCACTGTTGTCCTCCCTTCCCCAACAATCTTCCATTAAAAATAAATTTCCCTCTTTCCACTAAATCCTGCTAGGACTAAATTTAATTTAAAATATTTCCTTTCTTAATTAACTGTTATTTAGCACATGGAGAAAGAAGGTAGTTTTCCCTCCAGAAGATTAAGCTCCAACTTCAAATGTTACCATCCCACATTGCATTTTTTTCTTTACCTTCTTTATTTCTGCTTAGATATATTTTTAGTGGTTTGTGAGTGTCTACACTGAAAGCACTGTTTTCAAGGTTTATTTCTCTCTGGATCCAAATGCTGCTCCTAAAGCCAAACACGGGCCTCGGCTCAGCAAGGTATTTGAGGCATCTGTCTAGTATTACCGTGAGGCTATTTCCAGTGAAGTCAGTGGTTCGGTTCATTCACTGGAGAAACTTCAGGAGCCAGGCAGCAAATCCCAGTCTAGCAGTGACAGATAAACATGACCCAAAACACCTGGAGAAGCCTATTTACTTTAGCAGAGTGCCATGCAAACATAAAGGGTCTGTCTGTATTCCTTATTGCAAGATCAAAACCTGAGTGACTCGGATCCATCTCTGGCATGTGAGTGTTTTTTAGTTTATGTGAGAATGCTAAGAAAGGTGGGAACAGAAATGTCAGAAAAGCCAGTAATTAGACAATCCATGTCATTTGTGAGTTGGAGAGACACATACTCAGGCAATAACCTATATGTTGCCTCCAAAAGGCCTTTGGTTTATTAATGTCTTTAAAGTGTGTCTAGAACGGGAAGCCAAGTTTTATGGGATAACTGAGCGCGATCTGCGCTGAGACAAAAGCCTGTCACGTTCTGACTTCTCTTGCCTCCTTCCTTTTCAGTATGCCATGTTCTTGTCCCTGGTGTTCCTGGCTGAGCTAGTGGCTGGCATTTCAGGGTTTGTGTTTCGCCACGAGGTAGGTGGAAATGTGCTGAGTTTGCAGGCGGCAGCGCCTCCCTGGGCAGGAGCTGCTGAGAAGTTCTCTGGAGCGTGGAGAATCTGTAGGTCGCTGAGCTCGGCAGCTCTGTACACATCTCCAGGGATGCAGCTGATGTGCAACAATAACATGTACAGCTCTTAAAAACTGATGTGATTCCAAATGAAGGGATTTAGCCAAAGCTCTTGGCCTCAGCTGCCTGATAATTTACTCTGGAGCTATCTTTTTGTGTGTGTCCATCATGTAAGATCTTCTTTACTCTTTTACATATGCTGAGGGCTGCAAAATAGATGAAATAGTTTTCTTAAACACAGCTTCTTCAGACAGGCAACTGCTTGTTTGTATAAGGCAGAGAGCACTTCTGCATCAGACCAGATTCGATGTTTTGTAAATACTTTTCTTTTTTTTTTT